TATATTACAAAACCTGTAAATGCATGTAAAGGTTGGTATAATTCATATATTTTTTAAAGTCTGTGGAATCTGTGGAGGTTGTAGTTTGATGAAAGGCAGCATAGGAGCTCTCTGGATAAGGATGATAAAGTCCACATTCTCAACTACCCATCCCAGGATTCCACAGGATATTGCTGTGGCAGTTGAAGTGGAATCATATTGCTATAATTTGATAATATGAAAGAGACCTATATGATAGAATAGATTTTGATCACCCCTCCCCTGTAATACTCAGCAGTTTTTATTCCATTGATGTTCTGAAACATATCCTTCAAGCATTTTGTTGAATGTAATCCACTATCTGTAGATATGTGTGTTTAACTGTGTGTACATTTTGTTTTTGTTTTTTGTTAACTGGTCCTATTGGAGGCCAATGTGACATAGTGGTTAGGGGGTTGGACTGTGACTCTGGTGGCCAGGGTTCGAATCCCTATTCAGCCATAAAAAGCCACTGGGTCACTTGGGCAAGTCATACTCTCTCAGCCTCAGAGGATGGCAATGTAAACTCCCTTTAAAGAAACTTGCAAAGAACACCCCATGATAAAGTTGCCTAAGATTCACCATAATTAGAAAACAAAGAGACACAACAACAAAACCTTATCTGGTGTTGGGAAACATAGCCAAGGCTCACCTATTTTTCAGTAAAATATAATTAGTTGGGAAACTATTTGGTTGCATTTTAGAAGTAATATTTAAATTTAGAAAAGTAGTCCCACCATTTCTTGTTGATACTTGCTATCAAATCAGCTTCAACTCATGGTGATCTTATGAATGAGAGACCTACATGAGCCCTGGTCACCAGCAGCCCTGCTCAAGTCATGCAAGTTCAGAATAGCTGTATCTTCCTTGCCTGAATCAAATGTGCTCTTCCTCTTTTCCTACTGTCTTCCACATTACTGAGTGTCATCATCTTTCCAATAAGTCATATAACTTCATGATCTGTCCAAAGTAAAATAGTCTCAGTTTAGTCATTTAATCACTCCCTAGATCAGTCAAATGTTATTTTTTGGAGGTAGGGCTTCAAAATGTCTTTGAGAGGGCAGTCAACACTGAAGTAATTCACTCACTTGGCTTGCTCAGTGATATATAGATATATATACATCTCAGCCCATCATCTCTGGGAACATGCTGAAATCTGAATGATACACATGCACCAAGAAGGAAAAAGAGCCAAAGTGAAAAGCAATCACTGAACTTGAGGACCAAGGAACAAATGTGTACCAAGTCTTCATAGACTACAGGATACAAAGCAAACAGGCCCAGCTCAGGATCTCTTAGTACCCAAAAGGTAAGCAGACTAACTGTAGAAATCACCATTCAACATTGTAGACAGGACCAGATCTTGGAAAATGTACTTGTTTAGACTGCAACTCTCAGGTACCAGAATCCTTACCTCAGCATGACCATTAAATATGCTGGTTAGGGGCTCTGGATGATGTAGGACCAAAAAAAGGGGTATTTTCCTCAGCTCTGGACAGGACAGCATCCTCCACAACATCTGAGGACAATGGACTAGCTTAGGGGCACATACTCCCCATGCAGCAGCATCTTTCACCTCAGGTAGCCTCCTCACTCTGCCCAAGGGTAGGGCCAGCCCTTTCAAATAGGGGTGCAACCTAGACAAGCTTGTACAGAGTCATGTGCTGGGGCAACCACACCACACTGTTGCAGACATGGATAGAGAGGAGCTGCCAAGAAACACTACAGCTGAAATGATGTGCATCTGCCCTGTTCTATAAGACTGTGACATGTGGAAATAAGGGGCGCCCAGTCTGTTCTTTTGGTATTTTGGAATAAGAATGTCCTGGGGCTTGGGGAGGAAGGAGAAATAAAATTAAAATAAAGCCAGCTTGGCACTGCCTCAGCAACAATGGCAGGTTGCCTAGACCAGCCCCTTTGTTGGTTCTGCTTGATGATTGGAGAAAAGAATATGTACAAACATGTTCAAGGAGGTTATTTTTCCTCTCCTTTAGTCTTCCTGGCGCTTCTACCCTTGGCTCACAAACACAACATACATAGCTGCTGTTGCTGCTTCTGCTTTTTCTTCATTTTTTAAAAAAGAAAAAAAAAACCTTACAGAATGAAGGTTTTCAGCAGCTCCGTTGGCCTCCTCTCCATGGAGCAGTTTGAAACTTTCTGACGGCTTAACAGCTCGGTGGCATAATTTTCACACCGTCTTAGCACACAAACGAAAGACAAGGGAACGACAGAGGAAGCACTTGGCTCCTTTCAGCCCATGGAAAAGGCCAGCACATGCCTCGGTGTTTTGTATGTAGAAGGGAGTGGGAAACATTTTTCTCCCCCTTTTGTCTTCTCTCTGGTTTCAAGTGGGTAATTGTTACTAGGGAGCAGAGAGGAAGAAAATCATGAAGCTTTTCATTGAATGATTTGGCCAAACTGAAATTTTACGATGTTCAGTTTCAGCACAAAGTCCTCCTTTCAAGGGCCTTGATTTTTTTTCAGCAAATGAGCACTGGCACCTTTTGAAACTTCCATTTCCTAAGCAAAAGTGCTTGCTGTCCATTTATATAGTGGGCTGCTTTTGGCAGTAAAGGCCTCCAAAGCACTTGAATGTCAGTATCTCATTGTCGCAAGAGTACTGCTCTTTGAGAAAGTTCTCTGTTTAAAGGTATACGCAAAGTATCATTTTTCCTCCTCCTCCATTTTATGGTGGTACGCTAATACTGGGAAGTTCCTATGTGGTGGTGCATGACACGGGACTATATCACACTACACTGATATAGCACTATTATTCCATTTGAACTACTATGACTGCCTCTGTGGAATTCTGGAGTTTGTTGTTTAGTTGCCCTAAAAACTCCCTGGCTAAGAATTAAAAATGCTTCCACCAAACTGCACATCCCAGAATGCCACAGGAGGCAGCCATAGCCATTAAAGTAGAATACAGTCAGCCCTCCATATCCACAAATTTTTTTATCCACGGATTCAAGCATCCACAGCTTGAAAATATTTTAAAAAATATAAATTCCAAAAAGCAAAGCTTGATTTTGTCATTTCATACAAGGGACACCATTTTACTGTCCATTGTATATAATGGGAATTGAGCATCCATGGATTTTGGAACCAAATCCCAGTGGATACCAAGGACCCACTGTAATAACACTATAACAGTGTAGTGCAGTGGTTCCCAACCTGTGCTCCACGGAGCCCTTTGGACTCCTTGAATCAAAAAGGTTGGGAACCCCTGATGTAGTGTGATATTGTACATAGTCACATTACTGATATGCATGTAAATAGGATCAACACAGGTCAACATGCCAAATCAAAAAACGTGCACATGACCAAATAGCAATTATATACAATTACGTGCGGGACTGAGTCCCAATTACTCACTGGTTTTATTATCCTTACTCCAATGTCAAAGATTGATGGTTGACCCTACCCCCTGGACAAATTGGTATGACTTATTCAGAGGTTTGCAAAACTATTTCTTTCTTCAGGAAATATTCTGAACAGACTTCATTTGCACTCAGTGACACCGTATTATAGCCCAAACTGGCTGGCTGCATAGCAACATGGCATTCACTACATGATCCCTGACTGACTGAGATCGTTTGCATTATTAATCTGGGAAACATCGGAAAGGAAACTGTCTTTCGCAAATAGTGAACATGGTTTTGAACATGAGTGGGTGATTTGTTCTAGCCCATTTGTTCCAGCAAAAAGTCTACGCTCCATATTGTCTTCCCACCACACTTCTACAACCCAAATCTAGTATGTGCATTCCTTTGCTATTGGCTGATTTCAAAAGGGATGGTGAATGGGACTTCTAAGAGTGTACCATGCCCTCTAGTGGACTTTCTTTTTAAAAAATAGTCAGCATGCAATTATGCCTGAGACTCTGGTCTGCTGCTTTCCAATAACAGAGGAAGCTACCCTTACAGTAAGGACATGACTCATGAAAACGGAGGCTGTCTCACATTTGTTACTGTGTGTATCTGCCTGGACAAGCTAGATCAGGGGTAGGCAACCTTTTTGAGCCAGGGGTCAGGTTGCTGTCCCTCAGACAATTGGGGGGGCTGAAGCACCAAAAATAAATAAATAAATAAAAATAAAAATATTTTTTTTAAAATATAAAAATATATATGCATGCACACTTTCTCAGCCCAAGAAAAGCCGTGGCAAACCCCCTGTGGAGATTTTGCTAAGAAAACCCCAAGAACAAGTAATAACAACAATAATCAATATCAGCATGGCGGGCGGCGGCAGGGAGCAGCGGCGGCAGCAAGACCGGCCTGGGGCCGGTCCAAAGGCCTCGGGGGGGCCACATCCGGCCCCCAGGCCTTAGGTTGCCTACCCCTGAGCTAGATACATAACAGAGGTGGAACTGTGTCATACCAGTCACAGAAACACAGGCACAACTGCCATCATTATTTTTCCCCATTGATGAAACAGCATAATCCTTGAAATAAAGTATTTACTTGTCTAGTAAATGTTGGTTTGCTGTAGTAATTAGAATCTTCAGTCAGAAAACAGCAATCAGAATACAGAAACTAACTTTATTCATGATTAATGTATGTATTTATTTGATTTAAATCCCACCCTTCTCCCAAGATGAAATCAAAATTATTATTTATTATTATTATATTTATTTGTACCCCACTCTTTTCCCAAAACTGGGACAAAAGTTAGTTACATTACAAGTAAAAACAAAGTTGCTAAAACAGTGTGTGGTACAAAAGTTTAAAAAGCACTTTAAAAAGCCAATCCAAATAAAACAATTTAAAAACACTTTAAATAAATATTATATATGAGAAACAGCAATGCCATTGCTCTGCTACACCAGGGGTGCGCAACTGTGGAAGACTAGGGAGCATCACTAATGCTTGGTCCTCCAGACTGGACTTCTGGAGTACACACAAGCTGTGAACCTGAGATTTCAGGGGAAGTATAAACCCATCCTGCACAGATTGAATCCCTATTCCCTGATTTATGTTTTGCTTACCCAGGAGCCACTCTGTGTTTTCTGGATTAAAATTTGTTTGTTCATCCAGTCCATTAGTGACAAGAGGCACTGGTTTAGTACCAAAACGGACTTCTCTGGAATTAGATGGAAAGGAGAAAAAGAAGTTACTGATTTGTAGAAAAATAAAGATTTGTCATTTACCGCCACTCACCCGCTGATAAACTGAAGTACAGGAGGTGGCCATAAATGCAAGCTGCATTTCCCCCCAATACAATTTGCAGGTATTTTTCCCTGACTGAAATGTGTCTTCCTAGCCATTGGCACAGTGGTGTTAAGGAATACCCATGAACATTTCAACTCATCAGAAGATTAAACAACTTCTAGCATAAACTGCTTATGGTAGGCCTATCAAATATGTTCATATGAATGTTGCATAGGTAAAAGTGGATTGTGAATGGTAGGTGTGGGTATAGAATAGATGTGAATGTTGTGAGAGACTAATGGGACATGTGAA